TCGGGCAACCTTTTCTAAACCCTTTTGGATATTTTAAATACGAAAAAGGACTTTTCAAAATGACTCTTGATTTTTCAAATGACTCAAAGGGTTTTCAACAACGCTACTAAACTGAAAAGGGTCTAATAGTCATTTTCGTAAGGCTTTTACTCCTCTAAACCAATTTTTAGGATCTAGTGAGGCACGTGGGTTTTTCAGAGAGAACTTTTACCCTATTGAAAACGCCAGTTTTTCAATTTTTATGTTTGTTACTGTGCTGTTCTTAAATTGAATTTATGATCAATGAATATTTATTATATGACCAAAAAAATCGTTTATTAGTTAGTTACAAACAACTAAACCAATTCGAAAAGAAAACTCGATTTAATAATGAGATATATTAATTTTAGATTTTATATTTACTTTTTAATCGAGTTGTTCCTATGCTTCATCGCTTTTGTCATCATTATTCGAATATTGATTGTATCCTCGTGAATCGACGCCCAGAATTTTCTTTACTGCATCATCGGCGGTTGGAAGTCTCGGTAATTTAATATTAATATTAGGTTTCAAATCTTCCACCGAAAAACCACTTCCAATTTCATAATTTTTAAATGCTTCCCATGTGTCCAAATCAGGACAATTTCGTTCTTTGCCTTTGTTTCGATAAAATGGCATGCTAGGTTCACATCTTTCTTCACTGGAACAAAAGGAAAGAGGAAATTTTTAATGTTCTGTCGTGCAAATTACTCTATTCGAATAACAGACGAACAACAAACTACCAGAAAGAAGCTCTGTAGTACATATATTCACTCATTTAAACAATATGTGCTAAATAACAAACATGTGCAACATATCAATTCTAACACTTACTAATCTTCTTTTGCTTCACGTTTTTGCTCTTCACATTTTGTTAATGTTGGATGAAAGAACGTTCGTCGAAGAAACTCAAGAGCAGAGGGACGTTCTACAAAAATAATAGTTATTGCTTTTAATTATGATTAAGTAATCTATTTTCACATCCATCTATCTAATAGAGTTATTTGAGCAAAGTAAACAGAGTCTTTCTAATTAGATCCAGTTACAACTTTAGTAATAGATTCAAAGGAAATGAATGGACAAACTTCCCGTCACTCCATAACCGTAGGAGGATTTTAGTGTATTAGAGATTTACATATAATTATAATATTTTTATTTCTGATGACAATTCATCACAACATTTTAATCTCTTAGCAATGAAAAAACAGATCATTATTTTGGTTAAACAAGTGTTATTTTGAGTTTAAAAAAAAAGTTCAGTCGTTCTTTCATGGGCTAAATATTTCATTCTTATTATAATCATAATCCATTGCTGACTCGGCAGCATTTCGTTTCTTCTTTCCACCTAAACCTCCAGCGATAACACCGGTAACAATTCCACTAACAATTTTTTCTACGGACATATCTTGCGGTAATAATTTTGTTAATGTGGCCAAATCAAAACCACCACCATTTCCGATTTCATAAACATCTAATTCATTCCATGTATTAATATCAGGACAATTCCTATTCATATTTCGATTTCGCAGCCAAGGAAGAGACGGTTCACAGCGCTCTTCTATATACAAATGAAAGTTTTTAAACGGAATAAAACAGGAAAAAAAAAGGAATTACCGTATCCTTCACGGGCTTCACTTTTTTGTTCTTCACAAGCAGTTGAACCAGAATTAAAAAGACGTTGTTGTCGATTCAGAAAATTATTGGAAGCTGAACGAACTGAAATAGGGATGGGGGTAATAAGAAATAGTAGATACTTTTAGAGGAAAACTCAAAATCATTGTAGCATGTTTCTACATAATGTTATGACTTAAAGCATTCAAAAAAACAAGTATTGTCTCTTCTACAGTATTCAATCCAATAACGTTGTGTTACGCTGATATTTTCGATCTTTTAAAAATATTAAAATACACGCTAATTATTCATTTATCATCGTTGAATATTCATAGCATACCAGGCTTAATTCTTGAACCATCTGTTAATATACCATGTTGTTCTTCACGTACTTTGAAAGCGCTGTATTCAAATCTCGGTGCCACAAATTATGTAATAACCTTGGCCTTAGTGGCTCAGCTAAACAGCGCGATAGCTTACTATAATCATGTCGGAAACCTTTAGTTATAGGTATAGTTATAAGATATTGGACTATACATATATATATATATATATATCAGTATCAGAATAAAAAATTCTCGAATAAATTCGGAAACTGACAGATTTAACTTAAATTGATTCGTTACCAATTTCATAGCTAATTTCATACAGTTCCTTTGGATCAATCCATAAATGGGACATTCAAACACATTTTATCTGTCTTTTCTTCCCTATTCTGTTGAATGGTTTCAGAAATCAGTCAACAGTTGAATCGCTCATAGTTCAAAGTATGATGTCTCAAACTGTAAATGAACAGGTATATGTCCTTCATTAGAGCGATAAAAGTCAAACCTAACTTAATCTAACCCAATCTTTCTTAACTTATAAATCACGATAATTATAGTTTGCGAAACGTTTGAGTTACATAGGTTTAGTTTAAGAACTTTTTCTTACAAGAGAATATCTTGTTAAATTAGATTATCAGATGCCAAAAAATCTATGCTACGATTCTTTTTTCCCGTCATTTGAAATACTTTTTTATGTTCACTTCTTCTACGCTTGTCATCATTGTAAAATGCTGCTAAGAGGAGACGTGGGAGTAGAGCTATCAGCTGATCATTTGGTCGTCGGCGGCTAGCCAAACTCGGTTCTGTAACTTACCTCCCCTCCTCTCTCTATCCCATATATAGGGACTAGAATGGAACTGAAAGAATTGTTTCCTCTTGTATCTATAAAGACTTGATTGATCATTTTAACTTCTAACTTTCTCAAATTTGGTTTCCTATAGTCAACTTTGCATGCCGAATCCGGATAAAACGGTTAGGACCAACGAAACAAACGATAAACACGAAAGTTTTATTTATCTTTGAAAATTTGGTGAAATTTGACCGAATTCCCATATTTCCATATTTTAATCTTTTTTAACGAAAAATATTTTGTTAAAAAACTAAAATTGATGTTTTCCTAGGTGACTCGATGAGCTCTATCCAACTAAATCAGAAAAAAAGAAAACAAATTTTTTTGCTCGAAATTAGCTCAATTTTTGGGTTATAAGCAAGCATCTTACTTCTGAGCAATTCTTTTACAAAGAACAACTACAAAACTTTTCAAAATTTTTCATCGATGGCGGCGGCTGAACGACCCACACTTTTGAATCGCGTTCGGCTGCATCGGCTTAAAAACTGATCGGCGACGACGCCGACGGCTTATTGGCTGACACCTCTACTTGGGAACATATTTCCGTAAGCAAAAATGGTTTCAGGAAGATGTCTTAGAATTGATTTTATCTAGGAATTCTTTGGAAAATCTAGCTCTATTTCAAAAATTTTCAATAGAATTGCACTGGTTTTTTTCATGGACTGACAGCCAAAGCACATGTTTTTGTCCAGAGACTTTCTAAAAACAGTTCCAGAAAACTATGGACTCTCTGAATTCTTTTTTTTAGATTTCTTATAAATAGAGTATAAAATAGTCTAAATACTGTGCATTCTGAAGTTTTGAACTTGTTCTGGTATTTTTTGAGTAAATCTTTTAATGTTCGATGAACGACAGTTTTTTTCACAGCTTTCAATACCAAATAACATAACAATGTTTTATCTTACCTTCCTCGAACTCTCCATTGTCTTCACCATGAATAATAAAGAATAAACCAAATAAAAATAAAATCCACAGAGAAATTGATTTCATCTGAGTAAAAAAATTTTAAACAATCGTTAATTTTGCAAAAAATAAGAAGAAAGAAATCGTATTTTCAATTACTAGTTCAAACGAATTACTTAAAAATTAAGAATGTTTTCCATCGAAAACTAGCTTTATCTTTAATATAAGAAAAAAATTTAAATAAGTTAAATATTCAATATCTTACTCTTTAAACTCGATTCTCCAATAAAGTATACTGATGTCTTTGTATCTTCAGTTATATACCTTCTTTACTATTTTTCGTATATAATAGAATAAGATGATATGATATTGTTATTAACAGTTTTTCGTTTACTACTTCTTTTCTTCGATAGTTTGTTTCTTTTTTCCACTATTACTGTTTGAAGATTGACATCAATTAATTATCAATCTTGATAAGATATATCTTTTATTTTATAAGAATTTGAAGCATATCTTCGAAGGAAGAAAGTACTTCCATTATTATTCACCATCGTACTATAGTGTATAGCTTTCAGCACTAAACATCGTATAATAGCCATTTTTGATTAAGTAATTAAAATACTATCATTTTCGTGAATCACAGAATATTCTTCTCTATGAATCATATACTGAAGTAAACAACTTCAATATAATAATTAATTATTAGAATGGTGCTGACAGCAATATTTTTCGTATGATATGTCAGAAAAAAAAAGAAAATAAGCTGAAACTTATTATGTATCATACTCACAGAATATTTACAACATTTTATTCTGTTTTTTGTTCTATCTAAAAATAATATTTTGCATACGGTAACAAATATCTTAACAAACGATAATTATTGTAAGTAGTAAATTAAATTTTTTTTTGTTTTAGCCTTTCTAGTATTGGGGAAAAGCTCATAAAATACTTGTGCCAGTAAATATATGATGTTATATAAGATCTTTTTCCTCAAACAGATTGGTTCTTCCAAATATGAACTGAAACTAGGAGCACAATAGTCGAAATTTGTTGTTTTTATGCAAAAAAAAGTGAAACTTTTCTACATTATTTAGATGAACAGAATTATTTTTATTTTGGTTTGTGTCACACTTCTTTTCAGTCTTGCACATTTGAAATTTGTTGATGATGACGCTGAAAATTTATGTACGTAGAGAATCAATGTTAGACTGTAGATTAACAATACAACTTTATCATTTTTTAGCTCAAGACGAAGCAAAACAATTTTTAGAAAAACGTATTTTTGGAATTCCATTTCCTCGTGAACAAAGACGTGAAGCAAAAGAAAAATATGAAGAACGGTAGGTTGTACCGTCTTTTCAGATGGTTTAGCATTAGTTTTGCTTAAATGTATTCATAAGAAGTAAATCTATTTTATATCCAGAGCTTCATCAGTGACATTGAACACATTAACCAATTTTTTTTTCTTAGGTGCGAACGCACATTGGGCAAAGTGACTAGTCTCCAAAGATGGTGTCCAAAATTGGAGGTTTGTTTTTATTTTTTAAAATCTAAATTGCACCATCTAAATTTTGTGTTTAATAGGAATGGGATCAATGGCAAGCGGTAATTACTACTGATAAAAAAAAAGGTTAAAATATGATTAAACATATGCATATTTAGACAAGTTTTTTTGTTACTTATTATAGACGTAAAGATAACAAGTTTAAAGTTTTTATTTTAATTTCAGCAGTTAATTGAAGTAATAAACTAATCGTGTCGACGAGCTTCTTGCTTTAAGATTGCCTTTTACTTTTGTAAAGCATCACTTATTTTCTTTAGCAAATAAAACTATGGATTAAAGCGTGAATGATTTTTGTCAAATTTATGTCTAAAAGGTCATGAATAACTTCTTCAGTCAACGAAGAGATTCAGCAAAATTTAATTAACACTCGCAACAATAGAACATACCCAAAACTCAAATACTTTCTTAAAGTCAATTTATTCTTGTCGAATGTTTCGAACCCGAACATTCTGGTTTAACGAGTAGTTTACTCTTTAAACTGTGTAAAATGGTTATTTTTCCAGCTGGTCAAAACTGACGATTTCCTATGAAGACGTTTTAAACTTCAGAAGAATAAAGCATGAATTTTGTCGTTTTTATACCGATTTTAAAAAGTGTGTTGTTATCGAGCATTAAGCAATTTATTAAACAGACACGCACATTAACTACAAATTGTCCAAAAGCAAATTTTTAGCGCTGTATCAAGCCTCGTAGGAATAATCCAAATTTTTATAACAGAGGTTCAAGACACCTATGTTCTCGTCGTCTATTGTGCCATAAATAAATGCCGTATCACTAACTCTTTTCGAACGTGAATTTAAAATATCATGGAAATACCATTCTTTCGATCCCAACTGACAAATTTTTAAGAAGAATCAGATAAATGATCTTGGTTACGAAAACTAAATTTTTTTATGGCTCCATTCAATTTATACTGGTTTTTCCAATAAATGCACAGCTTCATGTATTTAACAAAAGAATGAAAATAGAGAAAGACTGGGACTTGTGTTACTAATCTTTTGGTAAAGCTGATGAAATATTGTCTTAAGTATCAATTGAAGAAATTACTAACTGACTACGCTTCGACCAACCAGATCGCTATATCATTGTACGATATGTACAATTTTCGACATCTGAATCATGTTTTCTGGTCATATAGACAAGCCAAAATATATTACATGCTTTTTCTCCTGATCTTTTCCATGCTTTTGACATAAAAAGATTTAGTTTTCGTACCCAAGATCTTTTGCATGTTTTTTTCGAACCTTTGTCAACCAGGATCAAAAGTTTGTTTTTTCAGTGATCATTTCTCATTTTGTTTCTCACAATATTTTTGTAATTTTCGTTTATTTAACGTTGTTTTTTATAAAAAAAGGAGCGAGCAAAACACAGTGAACAGAAAAATATACATACAAGTTCATATCTATGTATCATGACTAAGAGGTATCGTAACTGAGCAAAAAAAGAGAAACAAAGGAACCGATAAGAAAAAAAAGTTATTTTTTGCGTTGAACAATATATTTTGTTCACTGTTTGATAACTAAGTGGGCAAGACCGAGGGAGAAGAAAGACGAAGTTAGTTTTTTTTTTAGTTTTGTATACTTGGTTTTTTGAATATAAATAGTAAGACGAGAAAGAAGAGAGTTGACAACAAAAACACTGTCGAATTTCACAAGCAAAAAAGAACAAAACAACTACATTTCGCTTCATAAAATAAAAGATCTCAAAAAAAAACAGCAAAAGTAAAGTTTTTTCTCACACGGTATATTCACCGGGTACTTCTGGTAATAATAACAAGTGATTGTGATAAAATACAGGCACACGCACAACATACTCAGGATAAAACAATCGTCAACAAATTTGACAAAACGAAAAAAAATTAATGTCGTTATTTTCTACTTTTCAGTTCGATTATCTATACTTTGATTTGATGTTGGTGGACAAACTAATGATGAAACATGCCCAACGTTAACAGCCATGGATGAATCGGATGCACTTGGTGAAAGAGACGGTTGTTTTTGTTCATTCGTCAATGATCTTTTGTTATCAGCAGCAGCATCTTTCGTCTTGTCCCTAGGTGGTACTAAAAAGAACAGATGTTTACAGAGGACCAAAAGCGTGTTGTTTAACTTACATGCTGTTTCTTTGCTTTTGTCCGTTGTTGTCTGTTCAGAGTTGTGATGACCAGTCATTGTCAGATTTGGTGAATGATTTAGTGACGAAGAAGACGATGAAGAGTCTGACTCATCATCCTTGTCGATATCATGCCATTCATCATTATTTTCTGTTGGTGTTGCTGCTAATTTTTCATCATCATTTTGTACTGTTCGTTTTTCTTTTTCACCACTACTACTACTGCCATCCCATTCGCTTGTGTTAGTTTTTAGAGCTGTTCCTGCCTTTTTTGTTTTTTTGGATTTTTTGTTTTCATCAGCTGTTGTTGTAGCATCCGTTGTAGCACCTTCAATAGATAAGGATTCGGATACGGCTTCGACAATGAGTTGACCGAGCAAAGTATCGATATAATTACATACAACAACTAGAAAGGGGATGACTACCCTTAGAGAACTATTAGAAGATATGTGAACAAAAACACCACCCTTATGTTTATTAGTAAGTCAGTCAGCAAAATGGTCAATAAAATGCCGTCAGAAAAACAAAATCGAAGTTCGATAGAAAATACACACGTCTCAGTTTCCTGATCCTTGTAGACTCGACATTTGTTATTCTATCGGATGAAACGCGAAGCGTCTCACTACACGTACAACCCAAAATTTCTTTGGTTCGAAAACAAAATTCTTACCTTCCGTATTATCTTTTGATCCTTGCTTACGATTTTTACGCTTTGACTTTGTACGACGTTTTTGTTGTTGACTGTTGGTTTTTGTTTTTAACGGCGAAGTTCCATTTGCATTTGGTGTTGCTGGAATTGTTGGTGATTTTTGTTGTCGATTTGATTTAGTAGTACGACTACCGCGACCTCTTGCTGCACCACGTCCACGACGATTTGTAATAGCAACACCGCGCTGTCGGCCATAGCCGCTATTACGATTAGCACGAGACAGTTGTCCACGCGTTGCCCCACTGGAAGAACAAGAAAAAAAAGTAAAGGTTGAAATAAATAAAAACCGAAATGTCTACAAGCATATCTAAAGTAACATCAATAAAAATAAAATTGCCATAGGTTTTATGAATTTTTAGCACTTGTTCTCGAAATCATTGACACCACTGACTTTTATCAAAACCATGTAAAAGCAGACTATTGAATTTCCTGTTCTAAAAACATTCTTACAGGAGCATTACCTCGGATCGGTGCGTACTGTTGCCCGGGCAATGCGGAACATCTCTCTTATGAGAAGTAAAAGATGTGGACCGAAAAGACATTTCAAATATATATAGTAATATTACAAGTATACTATGGTGTTTATATACACGAACAATAACAAAACCAAATGGTGATTGGAAAAGAAACTTGACATCGGTGAGAAACGAAATTTTTTTTATGCCAACGGTGGATGCTAGTGCTAGAAGAATCTAAAAATGCCGACAAAAAAGTTTTTGTAGGGTAGCCCCGAGAGAAAACTACTATGCTACGCTACCTTTTGATTATACACACTTCAAGTATTTTTCTCATTCGTTTCACACCTCTCAATTGCCTGGGTGCACACTCCCACAATTAAGTGCACACACTTAAAGTGAAATTTTCCACTCTTGGCTTTAGGGCTTACCGTCTTCCCATTGATCGTCTTTGATATGTTCCACGTTGCATACCGCCATACCAATATTGTCTCATTTCATTTGCTTGTTGATAATTGTTTATATTATTATAATTTCTTCGGTAATTACTATTATTGTATTGTGGTCGAAACGGAGCCGAATATGGAAAAATATCGAAATTGTAATTATAACCACCATCATTATTTGAATAATATTGATCTTGATATGAATTGTTATAATTTGTTCTCATTATAGGACGATTATTGCCATCACCACCACGACGATCGAACCACATACCACCGGCATTTCTATTCATTCTAACATCACGGTTTGATCGTTGATTATTTAAAAAATATCCACCATTTGATTGTGAAAATGATTGTTGTTGCATATTCATATGCATAAATTGTTCTTGTTGTGCAGACATTGGACGACGATTAATAAATGGTCGTGTTTGCTGGTGATATTGAGATGATTGACCGCTATTGACTGCTTGAGGTTTAAACGATACGGGCAATGGGCGACTGGCAGCAAGTAATTGATCAACTACATTCATCCGATTATCATAAGCTTGTGAATAGTTATTATTGAATTGTTGCTGCTGCTGAAAACGATTCTTTTGTTGAAATGGATTCAATTCATCAGCATACATATTATTTGAACGACGATTTAATGATGATCGATTTGGAGATGTTTGACGTGGGCGAGCACCAAGGAGTCCGAAATTTTGATTGTTCATATAACCATTAGTATTATTAAAACGACGTCGATTATTAAACATACCATTGTTACTGTTAAAATGCTGCTGTGGCAATGAACCATACTAAAAACGCTTGAATTAAATAAAAGCAAATAATAAATACAGAAAGAGACCGTACTTGCTGTTGTGGAAATGATTCTTGTTGCGCATTTCCACTACGAACAATCTGAAGAATTGCTGAATCTGGGGCTAAAAATGGTTTTACGCCCATTGATGGTTGAATTGTTATTTGTTCCATTCGTGTTCCATCCGATGGACGAGAATATCTTCTGTTGTCATTACAATTAAAATCTGATATTGATGATTTTGTTGTAAAATCAGCTAAAAACGCTTCATTGGATAGCGGTAACAAATCTCGATTATTCGTTGCTGCTTGAGTACCAACATTAACCATAACACGACATGGACTATCCATATTTAAATCTAAAAAGATCAAAATAAAACAACAAGATGAAAAATCATTGATCAAAAAGTTAAAAACATGAGGTACAAACATTTCCAGTTATCTTAGTTGATAAATCATCAAAAAGTCCTGCGAACTCTTTAACTTTCGAAAGAATTCTATTATGAGGTCATTTGTAAGTCTACACAAGAGCTTTTTTTTAAAAATAGATCAATCTCCACCTACGAGATATTCTTTTTGACTTTTTTTTGTTAATTAATACATGTCATCATTCCGGCAGCCTTTGACTGGAAGTCAGTATTTAAGTCACATATTAGAGAAAAATTTAAAATTTTTCCATAATAAAGAAAACGGTGAATTAAAGTATCACAGGCTTCCTGGAGAACTAATGTTATTCTCTCTACTCCGAATAATGAGAAATCATTATATACTCCATATAATGCTCGACGAAAAGCGAAAATTTCTAGAGATTTTTCATTTTTCGAGGCTCGTGGGCCTGCATTAAAGGCTACCAACTGGGGTACGGAAATATTATAAGATCGTTAAAAAATTTTTTTGACGAGGCATGCAAAACTCCGGTCTGAAACAAGAGCATTTAGTATTGTCACCTCTTTTTTGTACAGCTATTTCAAATTTGAGGTGTTTAGCGGTTTTCTGAGTAAAATTAATGAAAAAGCCAACAACTGTGTGAAGTTCAAGCGAGCTCCTAAGAAACAAACTACTTCGTCTTACTTTCAAAAACGAGAAGATTTTCTGGAGATATTTGTCGAAAATAAATGACGAACTCATTTCGCTGCATAGTAGAGTCGTCATCATCTTCCCTCTGCATTCAAAAGCAGTTCTTTTGCGCTTACGAAACATTCAGCATTTTTTCTACTTACTCAACACTAATTTAACTCTAATAAAATCACAAAAAGAAGCAAATTAGTTTACCAGTGCATTATTAAAACTACAAAATACACTTCCAAAAATTACTTACATTTTCAACTGTTTTTTTAATATATCTATGTGTATGCGTGGATTCTCGTTCGTTTGTTCGTATATCTCTATTGAATGTTTTAACGACCGTAGAGAAAAATAAGAATAAAAGTTAGGCTCTCAATTTAAGTCTTAATGTTATTGTCCTCTCTCTTGTTTTATCAAACGACAATCAACTGTATAAAACTATTGTCTAGTCCAATGTGGTCAGAGATCCACGTGTTTTGTCAAGATATCACTATCAAGCTATGAGGAAGAAAGAAAAAGCATCTTTGTCATTCACGGCTGCCTAAACTCACACATCTGAAATTCAAAAATGGATCTAAGACAAGAAGTTTTTACTTAACAGAAAACTGAAGCTATAGTAGGAAATCGGAATCAAGCCGATTGAAAGCAGGGAAGAGGAAGAACTCTGTCTCATCTCAATAATCGTAAAATACAGACGAGAATAATATTTATACGTGAAGTTTTTGAAAGATACAATGCTTCTAATGCATTGTACGGCAAACCGTCAAACGTTGGACAATGCAATGGTTTTTATATTCACTATTGCGTGTTAAATGTTGCTGTCAGTATACATAATAAGTGGATCCAACAGTTTTTTCTGCGTTTGAGGCCATAGCTGGTCACATTCGAACGCATTTGCTGTTCATATGCGTTTAAACATCATACATTGTAGTTGAGCGAGCGTCAAGTCGTTTTTTCGAATAATTAGAGAAAAGCGTATCTTCTAAAAGTATTTAAAACTAATTCGCACAACACATTTAAAACAGACGAATTTTTTCGTTGAAAAATACTCAGAACGAGCCTAAACTCGTTCGTATGCGTGAAATGATACACATTCGAAGAAATCTGTACTCGGTAGAAATGTCTTTAACATTTATAAACATTTTCAAACGCGTTTTTTAAACCTCGAGTCATCAATAAAGAGTCGACTGTTCGTTCGTGCTGCGCTACATTTTACGCGTTGGCATCCACTCTGAGAATCAAAGTATTCTACTCTTTCTTCCCTAATGAAAGAAGCCCGATCTGTAAGCAATAGATTACTAAGCCCTTGCTGTCTACCATACAACATGAGAAGAACTATTGGAAAAAAGTAATCAAATCAATTATATAATTAATCCCATAGACGCGAATGGAAGCGTTAAATTAAACGAAGTGTGTCTAGGTGTGCAACAGTTACCGTTAACTGTAACTGTAAAAACTGTCACAGTTAAAACTGGTATATTTGATAATCGAAACTGATCATAACAGTCAGAAATAATTTATACGTAAAAGCAAAGTTTCTGATCATTTCGAATCCGAAAATAATTTTTTAATAAGCAGAAAGAGTGAAAGTTGGAATGAGATCCTTAAACAAAGAATGAATTTGTCTATCATAGAGAAATAAGACTTACGTGTCACTACTTTATCTAACGGAAATTCATCTAATGTTCGTTGCTGTGTTCGGACTTGACCTGTTTTTTTTTTGCTCTAAGCGATAAGAAAAGTGTATGACAGTTTTTAGCTGTAAAAGTTTTACAGTTATATAGTGTAGCAGTTACAGCTAACCGATTTGCACAAACGTAAGCCTAGGATTTTCCTTTCTCATTTCCGTTAGACTTAACCAGTGTAAGTGATGTATCTACCACAAACTATCACACAGAGCTTTTTTGACAATAAAAAGTTAAAGTTGTTAGTTGTTTTAAACCCGGCAACCATACAACTAAACAGTGGAAGCTAAAAATATTATATTTATGATCGGTACAACTTATCCTACTTTCTGTGATACGATTGGTCAAAATCAGAAGGAAACCATCTGTTCACTTGTGAGTCTGATCTTTCATCCGAAATAAGTTTCGAATAAAAAAAGCAAACATGAATATAAAATCCATTTTCTATCATAAAATACGCGAGAAAAAAGAATCGTGTTATATATCAATCCATGGAGTTTGACGAGCTGAATCGAACGATAAAACTTCTGAGTAGTTCTACACGATAAAAATTGAGAAAGACTTTTGGACTCGATTTATGAACTATCTCGAGATTTGCTAGACGCTAATCAACGTACGTATTTACAAAACTAAGCAGACAGTTCGATGTTGATTTGAAAGCATTCGAAAGACAAATCGATTGTTATATAATAAGCTGCGACTTGTTCAAGTTTTGATAAAGTTACGGTCATTTTAATGTTGGTGGACATGTATCCGCATTTTTCATTTTTCCCTCGAATGATATTTCGCTATAAGTCGACAATTTGTACATGCGTGTTATTCTAAGGCAAAAAAATACGTCGACTTTGATCGATTCCTTTGCAGAGTTCCGCTACGGAAGTCTTTGATTCTTTTTAATTTCTTGACACAGCTAATATCTCGGTTCTTCATAGAGTCCTCTGAGCTACATAATAGAGTTATTACTCTATTTCAAATAAAGTATCATGGATAGAGATCTTAGTTTTTATTTACAATCATTCTTTTGAAACATATCAACGTGGAGAAAAAATAAAGTTCATTTAGAGTAGCGGAAAAGTGCTTTTCGTATTCAGTACACTCAATAAAGACTGAAAATTTTCTATTCTTTGTGAAGGGTACTACCAAAAGTTCAAGAAAATTTTGAAACTAATATTATTTTCCCATAGAAACTTTTTTTCGCTATTTTTTTCGACAATTTTCTTAAACTTTTGACAGTACCCTTCGCCAAGAATAGAAAGTCTTCAAGATTATTGAGTATGCTGAATACGAAGAAGCACGTTTTCGCGACTCTAAATGAACTTCATTTTTCTGTCGATGATATGACAAAAATTTTACAAGGAAACTGTTTGACTTTCTGGTCTCTTATCTCTGAAAAGTATTCGCTTAGAAAATGAAAACAATGTCAAAAGCATAAAAAAACGAAAAGGACTCATAAATAACAATAATTTATCTGACTATAAATAACAATACATAGAGACCTAAAAAGCTATAAATATTATACTATCATGATACACAATAACAAAATTTTCTCAAATGAGACAACGTTTGTTCTACACAATGTGCTTGCGACTCATATCTATTAATCCTACTAATATGTTCGTAATCTGTTGTAAATTTTTTTGATTTTATTAAATATTGTGTTGTTGCTTCATAGACAGCTTGATTTGGTTTTGTCTTAAATGTTATTTGATAAAACATAATGCTATTAACAGCATTTCTTATATCATAATGAGGCACACGTCCATCTTTATCTCGAGAACCACTAAATGTAACCAATGCTGTATTTGGTTTATGCATAACAACATTTTCTACCCCATCTAAATATAATCGTTGACATAAACTATTAGCTTCTAATAAAATTTCGTTTATGTACTCGACAATATGTTTAACAGCTGTTTGTACAAGCTCATCGGTAATATCGACCGGTTTCCATTCTAAACACGAACACCAATGGGGTTCCAAATTAATATCGTCACACGTTCGCTCGACTGGTACATAATCAAATAAACTAATTGAACGTTGTTTTATCTGACCCTGATTACCCAAATTTTTCATATTCAATAGAGATTTTAATGTGGCATAAATATCGAATGGAGTTGTAAAACGATCAACGTTTGCTTTTAATGCCTTATAGGCATGAGGATATTTTTGTCGAAATTGTGATGGCAATATAAAACTCATAAATGGCAAACGTTCTTCCAATTTTCCTTGTGGTGTTGATCTGATATCTATAAATAAAATAAAATAAATCTCGTTATTACAAAAAATTTAGTACATTTGGCCTATTCACCTGATGCTCTTGAACCATGATCAGTCATCAGACTAACAATTGTTTTCTCTAGTTCTCCCGTATCACGAAGATGTTTCAATAACTTGTATAAATCATTATCACCTATTTGTCCCATGTTGTAATTGTCATGTGTATACATTTTAAAAAAGCCGAAATAAAACTTTTTATTATTTTCATACGATTTCCAAAATGTTTTTAAATAGGATAAAAACAATTCCAACGGGGTTTCACTACCTACACAATGTGTAGTTTTCTTATATAATAATGCCATTGTCGATTTCATCAGATAAAAAGGTGGCATGTAATGATCAGTTGGATTATTTTTAAAGCCACGTAATCGTAACGTATATGTTCCTGCATGATAAAAGCATACAAATGAAACATTTAATTATTAGATAAATGGGAACAACATACCATACTCCATACGATCTTCAGCATAAGCTGTTACATAACCATTGCGTTCAAAATCCTTCCAGATAAAAGGATAAACGTCTACAAACGAACTATTTTTAATACGTAGTAGTGTTGAGGGTAGTTCTTGTTCTTTATAACCCGTGAGCATGGGAATAACTTGCTGGGGTGTGCCGTCACCTAAAACATTGTATCCTGAAAAAGACAAAAGCTTTATCATCATTGACAGTTTAAAATTGAAATTCCTCTATTCTAAATTATGAAACTAAACTCGCTTTGGTAAGGCTTCTCGTTCCGCTTCGATTTCCATGATTATGATTGGTAAGAGAAGATGGGATGAGTAAGATCACTGAAAATCCTTTCTCGCTATATAAACTTCACTTTCTTCCTCAATTCCTTTAGAATTCATTGGAAGGAACTGTACAAAAACTTTGTTTTACCTTTCAGGACGATTCCATTCAACTCATGCGTTAAGTAGCGGTACGTTTTGGGCATTAACCGCTCGAAATGTAGCCTCGAGACACTATCCACCCCCAAAATAAGTACATTATATTCATCTACTGTCGTATTTTTCTTCGTCTGAAGTGTATAGTTCTCTAGTCGTTGTCGAACAATAGAATCATATCGAATAGATACTCGTGGTTGAACGGGATATTGTCGTGGTTGTATTTGCCTTTTCGTACTATCAGTAATATCATTTTCCTGACATCTAATTGTAAAATAGTCGGTTAGAATTGGAATACTCATGTTATATATTAGGAAAACGGATGTTTCAAAATAATGTTGATCACCTTTACCAATAAAAAAGGCAACTGTACAATTCAATGGTAGAACTAGACGAAGAGTATGATTTTCAATTGTAACGGGATGAAACCATGAGCGACAAATGGGCATTGTAATATTTATAAGATACTTGTTGATTTGATCGTTATACAATGATAAATGTGGAAAATGACACTAGAAAAACAACAGCAGGTTTCCGATTTGTTGTGCATATCAACGTGAAGAAAAAAAGTTCAGTTAGAGTCGCGAAACATGCTTCTTCGTATTCAGCATACTCAATAATCTTGAAGACTTTCTATTCTTGGCGAAGGGTACTGTCAAAAGTTTAAGAAAATTGTCGAAAAAAATAGCGAAAAAAAGTTTCTATGGGAAAATAATATTAGTTTCAAAATTTTCTTGAACTTTTGATAGTACCCTTCACCAAGAATAGAAAATTTTCAGTCTTTATTGAGTGTGCTGAATACGAAAAGCACTTTTTCCGCTACTCTAAATGAACTTTATTTTTCTGTCAGTGATATGTTCCAAGACGAACAATCAACACATACACACCCGTACAATCTGATTTTCAGTGTTCGCATGATAAAGATCCATTCCAAAGTTGTTCATTTGAAAGTTTAATGTTATTATGAGGGTTAATACTACTAATATGAAATAAAGTTTGATTAAACTTCTAAAATGACCTCGTTTCATACGAATGCTCTGTTTCAATTTGACGAAAACACTTTCCTTTGAATTTCCATAATGAGGTCGATACTCTATATATATAATAAGAAAACATATTAAGCTTCAACAGCCAAGAAAGGCTCTTCCATTCTTCTCATATCTCTTCTATAGTTTTTACTGTTAGTCATTTATTATCGGGAAAAGAAAATTTTTGTTTAGGAGACAGTTGTTTTATACAGGGTTGGAAAAAATGTTTTTCCAGGAGGATAGAGCTCACCAAATTAATGCTCATAGAAAATGGATTGATGAGCGTAACTGATATGCCGTATAACGATTATTGGCTGTCACACTCTGCAAAATCATACTTAAACTTTAATTTTAGAATTTCAATAGGGGGGGGGGGGGTTGCCATTTTGTGCGGTT